GGAAATGGCGTTAAAACCTGGTTGGTTACCATTGAGTGAGTTAATGCCTGTGATGAGCTGGTAAGTGAAGTAAGAAGATAGAGAAAGATGCATAAAAACAGTCTTCCTGCTTGGAGTTACACTGAACATATCAATACAATGAATCAGGGTGGTATCTCAACTGATAGATTGACTCTTGTGAGGTATATTATTACTTTAAGTTTACCTGTTAATAAGTCAGCCATGTAAGAGGTTTAGGAGTTTCTGTTACCATTTTAATACCTGATATGATTGCTATTTACAAGCTGGAAACTCATCATAGTAATTAATGGTAACGTGAACATGACAAAAGGCAAATGTCAGGATAGAGGAAAAGTGTTGAGTCATGTTTATGAGTGCTCACACCACTACATAAAAAAACCCTACAATTCAGTTATTTTTCTATATTATGTTTTTTGGCTTTTATAGCAAACAGGAATATAAATCAAGTGTTCAAGTAAGTGTGTGTGTATGAGTGAGCACACATCTATAATGAATGTTATCTCGCTGTATTATGATAATAAATCTGGTTATGCGCTCAGTATTCCTCTGTGTGGCTGACTGATTCTTATGAGTAATTTCTAATGGGACAGCAGGAAGCTGCTTGAGCTGGCTGTAATACAAAGATGCAGGAAACTACTCTGTTTTAATATGGAAACACAAAAAGACAATAAAGTGCTGCCCACTTGGGTCTCCGTCACCACTGTAACTATCTTGTCATTTTCTCTGATGAAACCAGGAAATGGCTCTGAAAGTATTGTTGTCATACACACATACACTCCACATCCCTCTGCTTTTTCTCTGCAATTAGCACTTGCACTGATTTGGATAATTGTTGTGTTGCCATGTTCGTCTGTTCCTTTATTTTCTGCCTTCAGATGTAATTCCTTTGCAGCCTGCATACTCAATCTTTAGCCTCTGAGAGCGGTGGTTGACATCAGGGGTGTAACCATTTGCAGTAAAGGACTTCTGACCAAGATTCCCTTTTCCGTGTGTTGCCATGTTTACATTCTGAATAGCAACTTGAGAAGTGAGAAACTGGTGTTTTTGAGAGACAACGTCGATGTTAGCTGCACTTTCATGCAGGTGTCACTTGAAAGTATAGACTGTATAAAACATAGACGTAGTCTCAGTGATGTCACCCATTGGTGTCTGAAGAGGAATTATTAAGCCTAGCGATGGCAGTTGCCATGTTGGAAATGCTGACTCTTACTTTCTGTCTATGTAGACACAGGCTAAGAGGTAGAGTTGAGGTTGGCTTATTGGCCTCCAGGCAAACAGCTACAATGCATCCACCTGTCAATCAAATCAGCCTCGCCCCTTTGTTACACCTAATAAAGCGAAACTCAGTTCTTATCAAAATAGAACTGAGCTAGAGAGCAAAACTGCTTTTGTGTTAAACTGTAAACATGTTTTAACTGATGTAAAATGGGCATTTTAACATGGGTCTTTAAGGGGTCCCTTGGCTTTTTCAGCCACCACAAAAGGACACTCAAGGAACTGCAGTTTCTTGCACTTTGACATTGGCTTCCATTTTCAACATCTGAGGTTATTGTTTGGTTTGGTTTAATAATAGGCCACCACTCCACCTGCTGGACATTTTTACCTGCGTGTAAGACCCAGAGGCGAACTGAAGGGTACTAGCTCAATGGGGGACTGGCTTGCACAAGCTTGTAGTGTCTGTGTGTCTGTTCTGTGCCTGTCTCAGAGCATCTGCTGTGTGTGGACACTCAAGTCCAAGTCTGTACTCTGAGGAAGGAGTGCAGCATGTAAATCCTCTCCCAGCCTCAGCAGGAGCTTCAGATCTGTGTGGGTGGTGGGGATTTTGGGATGCACCACTCGATCTTCTCCCCTTCTGACCACTCAAAGTAAAACCTCCTCCTCTCTGCAGGAGATGCAGTCCCTCTGTGGAGGAAGAAAGCACTACTGGTGCTTATTCTGTATCCCTGCTAGTCCTCCTCCTCCTCTGCCTCCTGCTGCTGCTGCCTCTTTTCTCTCTGCTTGTAATAGTCTGCAGCTCCTCCAATGTAGTTCATTGCCATACCAACACATAATTTTATTTATAACTACCCTGTGAACAGTTTAGCTCCAAACTTACACCAAAGAAAATATCACCAACCAATTCAAGTTAAAGCACATTAAAGTTGGACTCTCTCACTCCATACATTTGAAATGATTTTTTGTTTTCAAATATATTCTTGTAGTTGTTGGATTAAATGTGGTTGACCATGGTTGGACAATGTAAGCATCAGCAGGGTCACTTTGCATTCCTCTCTTAATTTTACGCCAATTGCTGCTTCATTCCCTGAAGTCCTTCCTCTCTGATGCGTTTCTAATCAACACAATTTCTTTGTGTGCGATTTATCCTGAAAATGCTTAAAAATCATTCTGGGACCTCCAGAAAAATGCTAATAAAGTTTACGCAATATTCATGTTACAGTTTATTCTTTACTTTTGTGCAAAATTGGTCAAATTGAGCTTGCTTTAGATGAGTATTTCATTGAGGTATACCTGAATGCATTGTACAGTAAAAAAAATGCTTAATGCACCCATCTCAGAAAAGGTCCTCTTGTAAAAATTCTTCCACCAATTTTATGATTCAAGAAGTTTCTTAAGCTTCCTATTTACATTCACATTAATGTCCTTGCATCCAACCGCCTGAACTTCTCTATACCAATACAAATATGTTTATATCAGTCTTAATGATTTACATTTTTATTTGACCTTATTAATTGAGGGTTTTTTGTAAAGACCCTCCAAGCACCGTGCACCCTTTAATTTATTACACCCATATCACATTGCAACACCAATATATGCACTACTACACTATGCTTGCAGTCCACAGTGCTCAACATGGAAATCCCTTCATATCCTCACCTAACCTTGAGTAATTCCCCCCCCCATGTGTTCTGTAGTCTTCTGTCTGCTAAAATGATCTACATAATTTATTCATTTGCATATGAATTTATAGATTAATCACTTAACTAGGTTCACTTTTCAATCATGGTACACATTGCATACTTTTATTAATTAAAGTATGCCTAATGGTGATTACAATTCACATACATAAATGTGTGCAAATTGTATAAAACATAATTTAAGTTATGTTAATTCATTGTCACTTCATTGATTTGTTCATATGACGTCTGTATAGCTGGTTTTTGGTTACATATTATTGTCCATGTGTTGGCCTTTCTGAAAGTAGAACAGAATGTGTTCTTATTCATCTGTACATTTTTAGTTAAACTGTCAGATTTAATTATGCATAATAGATATAAGCAAACTAACTTCATGTTACTAAATCCAGCTAACTTGATGGACGGAATCTAATGTGTTAACTTTTAATGAATGTAGCTGAAGATAGGTACCCTAAGTTATGTTTATTAAGTGTGTAAACTCAACATTAAATACCTAGAGACATGAGTTGTTACATTCAAGTATAAGTGTGTTCGCATTTTAAGGAGTGAAACAGTAAATTGTCAAAGTTGTTGAATTCATTTTATTTGTGTCTTCGGATCAATTCATTAACCAATTGTGAAACTGACCATTTTATTTCTTTCTTCAATACAATAAGGCAATGTGTTGTGCCCTTGGGGAAATGTGTCTTGGACTCTGAGTGCTGCACACATTGAGTTTCCTAAACAGTAGAAAAAATATACAAAACACAATGAAGGCAAGCAACAATCTACATGTACATAAAGACGCAAATGCCAATTAAAAACACAATCAACATACAGCATACTGCACAAGATCCACAACAACTGCAACATCATTGATAAAAATGTAGGTCAACATAATACATTCTAAACATTATTGTAAACATGTATTTGTCATGAATTGTCACACTTGAAAATATTTTTGTTTGTTTGTTCCAGAAATTTGTTTAAGATTTCCTGCTGTTGTTATGTTTTTGTGCTGGAAATAAGGATGGTGAAAAATACCCTCCTCTCATAAACCAATAATGGGGAATTTAATTAGTTTGACAGCTTCAAGATGAATGTGAAGGATTGCGGTTGCTGCTAATGTAGTGAAATGGCTGATATGTCGTTAGAATAGGTAATTTAAGAATAAATCATTGTTTTAATGATGAAAAGTTTTGGAAGATATATCTTTTAAAGATAAATGTTTAAATACAAGTTGAATTTTGTACACTCTCTTTGGGATAAAAGCAGCCTTTTAAGGCTTATCCTTTCTTGTTACCATTTTAATCTGTTTTGTTAAAGTTTAAGTTGGGAATTGAAATGTTTTTCTTTCTAACCATTTGAAACAACATGCATGGTTAACTTGCTGAATACTTGGAGATTGATAGTTGATACCAGTGAACTAGCAGACAACTCCCTCTTGTTCTTTGTTTTGATTGCACAAATGCAAGAAATGTTAGCTAGCTAGCTTTAGAGAGTCTTTTAATTGTATCGCTTTTGAACACAGCTATGCTAGTGGTTTCCCACATTTCCAGGTTGTTTGCATAGCCAAGCCAAACTAACCATCTTGGTTAGCCCTAGCTTCTTACCGAGAGAAGCTAATGTGGTATCAATCTTAGCTGCCAACTCTTGGGAAATTAGTAAATTAGTGTTTCTTTCCCCTTAATACAAATATTTGTCTTTCAGCTCAGTGTTTCTATATACTTGTATCTGTTGGTGTATGTGTTTGCAGGCTGTAAAAAGTGCGTAAAAGTCAAGTTTCTTTTGTCCTTAGGTCCTAATTCAGTAATGACTTGCTAATCACTCAACCTGTGGTTGTAATTACAAGTGTAGATAAGTGCTCCTTCTTTCTAATCAGTTGATGGGTGGAGTGCTGGGGAGAGTGTTAATACTCTTCTGTTTAACCTTGAATTATGCATCACAGGGTCCAATCGTGAGCAGTCTTATCACCAAGTACTACATTCATTTATGTCTTTTTAATAATGCATAACTTTGGCAAACATGTTCATTTATCATTTTATGGATGTTTCAAATAATCCTTAATCTTGTGTGTTTGTCCAGGGGAAGGAGACGGCGGAGGAGGAGGATGAAGTCGCTGTGAGGATGGACAAAGACTTCATGGTTGAATTCTTTGAACAGGTTGGTTTCTCTCACAGTCCTGTTCTTAGATTTTCTCTCTCTTTGAGTCATTATCATTGCACATTTCACATAATCAGTCGTTTTAGAATAATCCTGTTCATATGCCTGACTACAGTTCACATTATTCATTCCCTGATATTGAATCCAATAGTGTTGGTTTTTCAGAGTGCTGTAATCAATCTCATGCCATTTCTCTTCTTCGTGGAGCAGTGATGTGATTTATGGCTCTTGATGTTCTTCCTGGGGTGGCATGAATGGTAGTGTATTTTATTTCATTTCACATTTAGGGTTTTTATTGATTCGATAACACAACAATACTCTTCTTGTCCAGATCTGGATGACAATATTGGTGATTTTGAATCAGATTTTTACATCCACTTGTGCTTGGCAGATACTCAATGCACTGAGGTATATGCATGCGTCTGGGAGTGTATTTGCCTGTTCATGCTGTGCCCGTTTGCCGGGAACACAAAGTGTAAATCGTAATGGCTCACAGACAGGGTCAGGGGAGCATCTTTAATGGCCTGCTATATAAATCTCCTGCAGTGAATGGTTTAGCTGTATAAAGCAGGATAGTTCAGATCTGATCCGATGAGGCCATATTTTATGGGGCAGTTCTTGTAGATTTAAAATGCCTTGATATGTACATGTTGGCCCTAACATCGAAGTGTTTCAATCACCAATGCAAATACTACTACAAAGGGAGGTTGGCAAGGTTGAATGCCATTTAGCAGGCTGTTTGAGGTATGAAAGAGCTCTGACACGCAGCACTTTGATACGAGCTTTCAAAGCGATAAGAGACATTATAAACGCATCACATAAGAGGCCAAATTGTCTGTGACTGAGCTGCAGGTGCACCAATCAGATACCCCTGTAATCATATTACTTTATCAAGGTATCAAAAAATGATAACGATTTATATTATATTGTTTCATATTGTAACTGACAGGAATGTAATGGTTGAACTGTAGCCTATATAACCCTTGATAGTGACTATTAGTGCAAAATGGAGCTAGGGACTACTTCAGACATAGGCCTAGATAAAAATAATTCCATATTCATATTTTCCATACTCTTATAATCATTCATTCAAGCAGCAGGGGAACACATGAATTGATTCAGTGCTAATTCATCCCACTTAGCTGCTTATAGCTGCTTCCATGCAGCTATAAAAACTGCTTGCTTCCCAGCTATTTAACTCCATTCATCTCCTCTCCTACCGCTGCCACCCGCATGAGCATTTAGATTTGTCCATTCCGTATTGGTTCATGTATATTTAAAGTATTTTGTACTTCAGATTCTTACAGTTGTTTGTGAGCTTAGAGACGAGCCTTTGTGAAACAAAGTAACTTGGTTCAGCAGGGTTAGCTGGATGATTCTTTGCTGGTAATCCTCCTGATTACAAGTTAATTTGAGTTGTTTTCTCAAGATCCTGAAGAGTTTTTTTCTCTTCATTACAGAGCTGGTTTTGTTATTCTGATATGATGAGAAATAAAAGTTGAGCAATCTAATGGAAATGATTCATTATGAAGGGAAAACTGGGTGGATATGATGTATTGATGTAAGTCCTTGCAGAGCTTCAATACTGATGAAAGTAGAAGGACTATTTTATTGAGGATTTCTTCAGCCTCCCCTACAACCCAATGCAGGGTTTTACTACTTCATCCAGGACTTATTCTACTTAGAGTAAGGTTTTACAGTCTTTACTAGTAATACATGATATTACTTCAAAATTAAACATAAAAACTGTAGTTAGGTGATGTTGTATCTTTGAGGGAACATTGCATTCTGCAGAAAAAATCCTCCAAATTTGTCTCTTCCCCTTTACTGTTCTGTGATTGCTTCTGTCTTCTGACAGACGGTTGTTATCCATCCTTCGTGTTGAAGCGTACTTCACTTCAGCCGTCTGAAAATTCAGTCTATTAAATATTTCTTAAAGTGGAGAGGGAGAGGAGGAGTGAAATGTGGAGATGGGGATCATAGGAGAAGAAATGGAAGCCAGAGGGATGGTGAGAAAGACAAAATCTGAAACGAGAGCCAGCCCAGATAGAAAGAACAAGTAGTAACATGTGACATAGGGAGATGTAGATGGTAGAGTGAACAGAGGGGGGAGTAATCATGCTCACACCCTTACTGGGTGTGTTAATTAATCCTTCAGTGGTGATCTAGCAGACGTGGAGAGACCGCTGCAGCCCTCTGTGAACTGCTTCTAACCATAAACATGACCCTGAGAGTGAGAGTTATTGATTTCATGATTAATTTGTGGCATTTTTATGCGCAAGAATTCACAAGGCTGTGTCTCTTTCTGGTGTTTAGTATCATTAACTTCACTGTGCTTACGTATCTCGTCGAGTGTGGTTTGTGGATTCAGTGGATGGTTTGTGGATTTCAGTTCAGCCGAAGTAAAAGAAAGAAACCATGAAGAAACCAAAGCCAATAATTTATCCTTAGTAATGGCTTTTTATCAGGCTAATTCTACCTAACCTAGCTTGTTATTAATTGCCAAAGAATTTCATAAACTGCAAATCTGACCTGCAAATTGATTTTAAAAGTGATATTATTTTAAATGACAATCCTTGTGAAAAATTCTGAGATATTTTGGTATACACAATACCTAAACTGGCACTGGACATCAGCATGACTTAAAATTATGAACTTAAAAAAATCAATGCTTAGTTGACATCAAAACCCAAAATCAATCAACACCTCCAACATTAAACACAACACAAAACCCAGATGTCTTCGTTGTACAATCTAACCCCTTGGTAAATGTCAAAATTCAACTTCAGATTGAGGTCAAAAGCTAACTTGAAAACCCAGCTTTGTCTTGCAGGGAAACTTTATCATTAGACTGTGAATTTAGGCTGAATATGATAATCTCATTTATGTGAACAATTGATGTTGGTTTGACATTTACCACCAAGAAAAACAGAAATGTAATCTTGGTTGAAAAAGAAATTCAGGTTGACATAACAGATGGAGATGCTGTAATAAAATCTTGACCATCTGCTATATCGTTTGACACCAGCTACGACGTCTGACATCGGCTTTATCATTTCACGCTTTCTGGCCTCCAGTGCCTGTACTGTATGTGTAAGAACCACACAACACCATACTGTATGTTGTATGTTGACCTAACAGCTTGGATAGATTTGTGTACGTGCATGTGTCTGAAATATGTGGAGGCTTGAAATACTGTCATGAACTAAGCTGTGACATAATGCTATTTATATATTATTATACTCTCAATTTGAGTTATTTTTTTATTTGCAAAGGCAACATCGGACAACAATTAAAATTTGACGTATCTATGTTTTCTGATGCTGTTAAAGGGTTATTTACATTTTCTAGTAAATCCGGCTTATATGTTGAGTAATGACTGTTCTACAATTGCAATATTTTGGTTTCCTATTTCTTAAAGGTAGAAATGTATAGACCTCAATGTTTGTGGTAAATAAACATTACAGATTTAAATTTAAGGTCTTCTCAGTGTGGCATTTTGTTGATTGTTTAATACAGAATGCTTGTAAGTGAGTTTATTCTTACATATGTACATTTTTCCTACCATAGATTCATATAAGTTCCATTACATTTGATTTGTCAGTACTCTTCTTACATCGCGTAGTGAAACTCCTTTCTTTCCCCAAATATCCCGCACTGGATGATGCAAGAATGAGGGGAGCAACAGCAAGACAGACTCTGGCCTCAAGCCTTTTTCATCATCTTAACAAGATAAGAATGAGATATATACTCAGGTAAAATTTAGATCAGATGATACATTTGAAAAAAAAGCTATTATTAGGTGGTTCAATAGGACATTTGTGCAAGTTGTAGACAGGTGTCATGGTGTAGAAACCTATCCACTTTATAAAAGGAAGATACACATGTGTGAGGTATTCCTGGGAGAGTTTGTCTTTTTATTTGTTCCTGCATGTGTGTGTATATTATTTTATCTCTCCCACACCAATAAAATTTGCCTGATGTCTTCAGAGACCCGAGAAGCTGCGTGACTCACGTACACATGGTTTCCAAACTGAGTCGGCTTACAGTGATTTCATCTTCTGCTCACTTCACGTCTGTTTCACTTCCTCCTCTTCCTCCTTTCTCAGCCTTACTTTTTTTTTTTTTTTACATTTTGTGATCTTTCCCCACCTGTGTGTCTTACTTTATTTAACTCTGTCCTCTTGTCACTGTGCCGTCTGCAGCGTCTGGTCTCTCCCCAGTGGTCTCCCAGAGCCAATTATGTTGTTATTAAAGAAACAGATCGAATCAGTAGGTAATTAAAGAGATAATGCGAAAATAATAACCTGGGCTGGGTGAAGGAAATCTCAGGACTGTTTTGATGGATGAGATGAAGAACGTGCAGAGCTGTGAGAGGTGACAGGTGGACTTCAAAGGGCAAAGTAAAACCAGAGACATGGAGACAACTGTGGATATATTCAGGTTTAAGTTCAGGTTGCTTTATTGGCATGAATGGTAACAATCCTTGTTGCCAGAGAAAAAATATTTAAAAAACGAAACAATAAAAGAACATATAAAACATTTAACAATTATGTTATAATATAAATACTTAAATAAATACATATACACATGCAAAGATATACCTTGACATCAATAAAATCAATTACAGTGAAATTATTACCAAAATTAAAAGGAAGTCAATTAACTAACTGTTTGTCTCATAAGGTATATCAGTTACATATTGTGCGACTGAATGTATAAATTGTGCCTCTTCTGCTGAACATTGTCTTATTAGATCACTGTGTGGCTCTTCATGTGGAGCTTGTACTGTCTACATAACATGGATTTTGTTTAGACTGTATTCTTAAGTTTTGTCTAGATGTACCACACTCTCTGTCAACTGTAGGGATTATAGAGATTGATATTGTAGAGAGTGATTTGGGGGGACATGCCAGCCTGTAGCAGAGCAGATATAAGGGAGGAGAAAGAGAACACGGGTCCATGACAAACTGAGATGAAAGTAGAGGTTGATGAAGTGCTGGACAGATGTGATCCGCTGCTTGTCCAGATGTTGCCTGAGCCAGAGGCGGCACAGCTGGTGAAGAGCCAGCAGCGAGGTTATTGGTTAGAATGTCAAACCCGGATGTTGGTGTCAAACGATGCTGTGAAGTGCAGAGGTCAAATTGGGAGATACATCTGTGCACTACCAGAGTCAGTTTTCTTAAGTTTGCATTTAGGTAGAGAATAGAATAGAATAGAATAGAATGAATCGAAAAGAATAAAATGGAAGACAACTAAATTGAAATTTATTTAAAATAAAAAAATTGAAGAGAAAAGAACAGAAAAGAATAGAAGACAAACAAAGAGAATGGAATATTAAATATTTTCTGTGCATCACTAAAACAGGAAAATATATTAACCACATACCCTTAAAAATATATTAACCACATACCCTTGTGCATTAAGCAATCCACACACATGCACATCCGTAGTATTAATTCAAAATGATAAAAAAAAAGAATTCTTGAAAAACTGCCCATTGAAGTGGTGAAGGTGTAGTGAAGTCATCACTATTCTGTGCTTAAAAGTGCAGTGAAACGTATTGGGATATGTGTCTTTTCAGGCTTGCTTGCAAAGATCACAGTTAAAAATATAACACACTCATGTCCGTCCCAGTGACGTCACCCACTGGTTTCTGAAGAGCCATTTTTAAACGTCCACCTGCCTGTCAGCCTGTCAGACAACTCAACCACGCCCAAATGTATGCAGATTTATGAATAACTCTAACCCAATCCGCCCACCCTCCACCCTTTCAGTTTTAGCAAATATGGAATGAGCCTTTGAGACCAAAACCGTAATACGTTAATTTCTGTAAATACAGCCTTTTTGCATGGGACTTAAAGGGGAAATGTTGTGGCTTGTCTGCCAGCCTCAAGTGGACACTGCAGGTTTTTTCTGGAAAGTACAAGGTTAGCTTAGCATAGCATTAGTTGGGTGAAATTCCAAAGGTGAGAAAATCTTTCCATGCAGCCCCCTTAAGTGTATTCAATTATTTAATCTGAACAAAACAAAGGAAAGATTTCTTTAACCTGTGTCTTGGAAAAAAAAAAAAGTCAAAGGGAAAAATAGTCATAAACAAATATCCAATGTGGTTTTTTTTATATATTATCCTTTAATTATAAACTGGCCATCATGGCCATACCGCACAAATACTTTTTTTTGCAGAGATCCCAGAGAAATGACGATTGAGACAGGGGAAACATCAATCAATCAATCAATCAATCTTTATTTGTATTGGGGAAATTCATAGCAAATGTTATCTTAAGACACTTTACAAAAGAGCAGGAAAAAAACCTTACTCTTTGTTGGCATTAATCTATCATGAGCACAGCATGAAAACAAGAAAAACATGGCATATCAGTGTTCTTTCACTCAAGCCTGCCTCACTTTGCTTTCATTCTTCCCCTAATATGATAATGACATCTTCAGTTCAGTTTCTATCAACATCGCTCAAGCTAATCACGGCTGCTTCCTGCCTGCCAGCACTGAGGAGATCTAAAGTGCCTCTTGGTCTGTCTGTCTCTCTCTCTCTCTCTCTCTCTCTCTCTCTCTCTCTCTCTCTCTCTCTCTCTCTCTATCCCTGTCAACAGGTGGAGGAGATCCGGGGTTTTATCGAGTCTCTGGCAGAGAAAGTGGAGGAGGTAAAGAGGAAGCATAGCGCCATCCTTGCCTCACCTAACCCTGATGAGAGTAAGGCTTGTTTTGTTTGTTTGTTTGTTTGTTTGTTTGTGTCTTCTTTTCTAAATGCTCCTATATTCAACTTTTGGGTTAACAAGCTCACCAAACCAAACCCAGACATTCACAGTCCTGCTGTTAATGAGTATCCAGGTGAATTCTTAAAACTGTTTTTAATGTGACTGTCCAGTTGGATTTGAATCCTCTGAAACATCTCCACTGTAGATTTTCTTGACACGTCCATCTGAAATCCTACTATTATAAGTAGTTGCATGCATCCAAGCCACAGCTGTAATCTCACCTCATCTGCCATTTGTGCAACTGACCCCAGATCTCAACATATGGTTTGATACATATGAGTGATTTTAGAGCAACTTGTAGATGGGGCTTTCTATCACCATAGTCATCAATGCATGAAATTAGAAAATATTCTGCTAGAAATGGTGTTCATGCTCTATAAGAGTTCAACGACTTTTATGATCTGTGTTAAGGAGCACTAAAGCTCTTCTGGCAGCTCTCAGAGGCCCACAGATCTTACAAATACGCTTTTTTGTACTTATTTTGAGCATTATACCACATTAATAATTTGTTTCATTTATATTGCTATAGACTTTACATTTATATGCACTAATTGGTTGTCTGTCTATGTAGCTGTGTGCTTTGTTAGTGGTTGAGTTGGCCTTTTCCACACTGGATACAAATGTCAAATAAAAATGTTAATCAGCAGCAGTCAATTTGTAGAAGATCCATATTTGTATCAAGGATGAAAGATTTCTTGAGCCGCAGGTTGGAGGACATTGGAATCAGTCAGGCAACAAGTCTATTCTTAGTTCAATATGATTTACTCACACGTGTATGAAGAGAGTCTGAGAGCACAGAGTACAACAGAGAGAGTCTGTGAGGAACATAGAGATTCTCTGTACTTTCGTAAGAGCGTCTGTATGTGCAGATGTTGATTTCTATGCGTGTAAGCTACTGGAATACTCATTAGCTGGAATATTGATGTGTGTGTGTGTGTGTGTGTGTGTGTGTGTGTGTGTGTGTGTGTGTGTGGTGTATGCAGAGTTTGAACCACCAGCTGCTCACTTACTGTAACTATTAGCCTTATCATATTAGAATGCTTTAAAATATCTGCGGCTTGAGAAAATGTCTTCCATGTAAAACTCAAATGTATTTTTGTAAATTTGATTGAATTTGTGCTGACTCAAAGGTAGTGTTATGTAGTCTTTAATGAGTTCAATAGTTTTCACTTGTGTTTTCATAATGTTCATTAATTGAGGTTTTGGGCCCAGGTGGGGGAATTAACGTCAACAAAATTGAAAAAGCAATTAAGTTTTTCTTAATTTAAGAACAAACGTTTCATAATTATTGGCACTGACTTTTTTTTTCTCAATCTGTGCATCCCTATGATAATGACATTATATAATGTAAGACTTGATGCCACCTGTCACTTCATTATGAGAATAGCAAAAGCAAACCAGAAGTTACCCTGCGACCCAAAGTTTCATGAGCAGCTTCTCATGTTGAGTTGCTCGTCAATGTGCACTTATTACCTGCTGTTATATATTAATGTGGGTCTTTTTTTGTACAATAATGCGCTTGAAAGATTAAGAAGTTTTTAGGGTGACCACCAGTAAGCACAGTAATCAATTTAAGATTCCAACTTTATTCTTAGTCTGTCTTCCTATTAAGAAGTTCTTTATTTCATTGATTCAAATGGTGAAGTTTAGATTGTCCAAGTCTGACCCTTTTGTGCACACGCTTCTTAATGATAGCTTTAAAGTTTAATACTACTGACTACTGAGTCAGTAATAAGTCAGAGTAGCTCTTAAGGGCAAGAAGAATGTACCTCAGCAAAAGGCCTGTTAGTTTCACTGGACAAAAAGAAAAATGTCTTGATTGCTTTAAAGGCTTTATATGCGATTTTTTTGATCCAGCAGATGTCGCCCTTGAGCACCAGCATGAAACCTAAACAACTCGCGTTGCATTGTTGTGTTAGCATGCTAATGCTAGTGATCTTTATTACGCTCGTATCTTCACACTGCATGTAAATTTACCTGAAATGAGTGTGATCTAGAAACACAGTTAAGCAGTGAGTACAGTATGCTATTCTTCTTTTCTCTAGTCCCTCAATTAAACAACTTTTATACGTGAGGGGAGGAGTCAGCCGCCGTCCTGGCGATGTAAACAAACTGAAGATAGGACTCGGAAAACAAGGAAAGCATCACAGACAGTGGGACTCGGGTGTTACACCCATTGTAGACAGTCGTGACTCAGAGTTATTTTCAGAGGATATACTTGATTTATAAAAATCACATAGAAAGCCTTTAAAGAAATTAAGAAAATAAATATCTTTTTTTTCTGACAAGCCAGTTGATGTAAGATCTTGGAGATGAGTTAGCCTCTTTTCACCAGTCTGCTATCATTTTAAGCATTTATGCCCTCATGGTGAGATTTCTTAGACTTCAGTTGTCCATTTTTCACCATTCTTCTGCTTCCATTAGTCATAAGCCCTGTCTTTTCCCTTTTCATCTGCTGTTTACATCTGCCATAATTCTCAATCTTCCTTTCCTTGGTTCAGCCTGTGATGAAAAGTTAACTCAATCTTTCCGTCGCTCTTTCTCTCTCTCTCTCTCTCTCTCTCTCTCTCTCTCTGTCCTCTCACACATCTCTCATCCTTGCCAGACCATTGATCTGGCCTCCTGCTCTCAAGAGGGGGTTGTTACTCACACTCGTAACACCACCCTGATACTCTAGCTTCCACCTACCTGAAATAGCATCGATCTATTTGCAGCAGCAGGCATCAAATGAGCCCTTTAACAAGCCGGGTTGTGTAGGTGACCCACAGAGCGAGGCAGCAATGAGGGAAGGTGCTGCATTTAACACGTGAATTCTTCAACAAGTTGTCTCCTTTGTGACTGAGATCACTGATCTAAGTGTGTGTGTGTGTGCCTGATAAATGCACATCAGTCAGCAGCAGATGTAAATGTCAGGGTCGTTCATTACACGGAGGGCATTGTGTTTGTCAATGTTGCATTGTGGCTCCACCAGAGACTACAGTTATCTGAATAACTTCATCCAGGTGGCTTCTCTGTTTCTTTAGCAGTATCATTTCATGTATGGAGATATGTGCAACTCCCTTTTATCTATGACAAATTTACTTAAAATTATCTTCAGCCACACAGTGTGTTTTTTCGACATAATTCTGATGGATTACAAATTTATCAAAGTAACAACAAAAAGCTATGAATAGGGATAGTAGTACATGGAGAGCATGCCGACCAAATTGTCACTGTTTCTAAATATTTGCACACATTGAGCCACAGGACGGACTTGAACCCGGGTCATAGTCTCCGCGACCTAACCGCTAGGCCATCTAAGCCCCTTATCCACTTATTTTATATTTAAAATCAGCCCAAGGTAAATTTTAAATTTGCCACCAAGCCATTAACGTGCCCTTTATTATTAGCTGTACTTTGTGTTTTGTGCTGGCTGTGGATATATATAAACGTTTTAGTTTCCACACAACAGCATGTCACGTTGTCAGTTAGCAAGCTGGCACAATCACAATTCATCCTGAGAGGAATGCTTTTCCAAATTTCATAGCAATCCATCCAGTTTTTGTTGAGATGTTTACACCAAAATACACATTTGCCAACTTCTTAGCAACTTCTTGGCACCAGAGGAGAAGCCAGGAAATTGCCAAAGTCTGTTGGCTAAATCGTTTGGGAATCATGGCTGTATCGTGGCTGTCCCAGAATGTTGGGATTAATCTTGTAGATGTGTTGATATTACTTGGTGTCCAAAAAGTCTGGTGGAACATTATTGTACTGTAGGTGCATAGTATAATAAACAGTAAACACATGGTTAATTTTGTAAAGCAACAGAACTTACGCAGGCTGGTGTGAGTGTGAAACAACTCACAAAACGTGAGTGAAATTTACATTTTAAAAAACAGTTTTACATTTTATAAAACCAAATTACAAAACCAAAACACTTTTACAAAGGACAAAACACATTTACATTTTAAAGAACAAATTTACAAGATGTGAAACACATTTACAAGCACTGAGACAAATTTACAAGTGGCAGAACACCTTTTACCAATCCCCGAACAAATGTACCAATGACAGAATCTTGACGGAAAGGGAATGTACCAAATGTAGGAAGTGACCCGTGAGCAATGGAGTAAGGGGTCATTTTCTTTGTTTTGGTGGGAAGTGTTCTCCTCTTTTGCTTTGCGCTTGTCAAAACTGATCCAGCCACTAGACATTGCTGGCGTAATAAAAATGTTGCTCTAATTTATAGTTAAAATAGGGCTACTCAGACAACTAGGAGGATGTGTAGGGCCCTACTATGTCACATTTATGATCCTGATCACTTGATTGAAGTGTCGATAACACCAGAATAAGCTGGTATAATTGTATAAAATAGGGTTGATATATGTGTTAAGATCATGTGAACTGTGCCACGTGCCATTTTCACAAGGATGTTGATATATCCTTTCTGCTTCTGATCCTCTGATTGTAACAGTCTGACATTTCTGTGTGTCATCTGAAGTAATTGCACAATGACATTTTTATGTGAATCCCAGGCTCTTAAAAATCTCCCATGAGTCATTGTTGCATTGAAAATGTTGCTCACGTAAAAGGTCAGTGTGGTCTTATATCCATTGTTAGGAAAAACGTATTTCCTCTCACTCCTGCTTTTCTTTCTCTTTCAGTCAGTGTTTCTGCATTTTTTAGCTTCTCTTGTATTCTTTTATTTTCACCTCTGTGGTGAGACAGGAGCCTGCTTTTCTTTCAACATCAACTTCAGAGATGTTGTCTTTTACCAAAACAAACCTATTTCCTTTCAAAATAAAATCACCCTCCTTCTTTTTTCCTTTTCAATCGCAAGTTATATTGTGAATAACTTAGGCTTTAAGTAGTGACATTTTGTTCTCTCCTGATATATAGTATAATGACGGAGCAGAAAGGATTCACACACACAGTATAGATTAATTACATCAAAGG